TTCACCTGCAGCTCCGCCTCGGGCCCGCGCTGCTCCGGGGTGCGTCTCAGCGGCAGGCGGTCCCTGCGGGGGGCGCCCGTTACTGCCCTGCAAGCTCGCGGGAGAACTTCCCTCCAAGTTCTGTCTAGCGCCGCTCTTAGCGCGGCGGCTTAACACCGCCTCCATCTACTGAAAGCAAAGCGCAGCGATACCCGTCGACTGCCCCGCCACGAGGCTGGAGGAACACGGTGAACGGGAAAAGCCGCCTTCCGCTCCAGTCAGGTTCCCCCCGAGACCCTGTTCCCGTCCCAAGTCCCTCCGCAGACTGCCTGGGGGAACATCGGGAAGCTAAGCAAAAAGGAACGCCGTTCCGTTTTCCAAGTATAGAGTTCATCATCTAGACCAACCCAAGTTTAAATCACACGACGTCCACTTAAGCAATTTTCTGTGCAAATGCTTTCTTAGGGGATCTGCAAAACCAAACAAAAGGATGCGAAAGGAAAAAGGAAAAGGAACCCAGTGGCCGCCATCTTAGGACTGCAGATCCGCCATCTTAAGACTGCAGGTCCGCCATCTTAGAAGTGCAGATCCGCCATCTTAGGAGTGCAGGTCCGCCATCTTAGGAGTGCAGTTCCGCCATCTTAGAACTGCAGACCCGCCATCTTAGGAGAGCAGATCCGCCATCTAAAGACCGCAGCAGAAAGCGGAGCAGCTCCCAAAATGGCCGCTCCAGGTTCCTGGGCGCGAAACAGCCATGTGGTCTTTCCTGTGGCAAGCACAGGAACCACTCAAACTTCACTTTAAAAATGCTAATTCTGAAAGGACAAAAGGAAAAGCATTTTAAAAAGTCATAAAAGGCAGAATCCAAGTTGTCTGAAGCCTAGTTATTTTAAAAATGTTAAGCTTACGCAATGTAAACCAATAAGCTCGCTAATTACCCCAAATATTGTTTTATTGCTTCAAATACTTCAATGTTCTAATGAAAAAATCGATCTTAAAAATCACGTCTATCACATATTTTTAAGTTATATAAGTGGTTTTTTAGGAAATGGTTGTTCCCTACATGATACCCGAATTCCCTGAGGGTTAATTCGTAAGCCGGTCTTCACCAAAAGGCAAAAAAGGCTCTGCCTTCAAAGAGCGGCAGGATGGAAATACCTGCAAATACTACAGAGCTGATGGAAATGTTGAACATGAACTCTTCCAACGCAAAAACAAACACAATTTTTAAATGTTAAAGGACTTGCAGACTGTTTTCCAACAACTATGTACAAATTCCCATCAGCACAAAACACGCTCAGCCTCAGTCACGGGGAAACGCAAAGCGAAACTGCGAAACCGCCGCACTTCGCACCTCGGCGAGGAGGACGCGGGCCGGGCTGGGCAGGTGAAGCGCCGGCGTCGCGCCTCCGGGCCGCCACTCTTGGCTCAGGCGCTCCTCTCGCTAGACGGAGGGAAATGAAAACCGCAACCGGAGCGTCAACGTGCAGCCGAAAAGGGGGGAAATTGTCACCTGTACGCACGTTGTGTTTCAAAGTCCATTTAAAAAAAAAACTAACCTGGCAAAACACCAAACGTAAGGATCACAAAATGGCTTTTGTAATTGTCCAATAGTCTGCTAATAAAATCTTCTAATATTCTACCAACTGTTTAATATCCTTTACATCCCACCCAAAATTAGTAAAATTCAACTAAAATCTCAATAATGAAAATGAAAAATGCAATCAAAAGAGACAACGTGAGCCAATCCCAGCCTGCAGATTTTCCCACAAACGAGAGAAAACCAGTTAGTGCTGCAGGAACCTCGGGGCCGGGCGGCCATCTTCCAGGAACTGCAGACAAAAGAACTTCCTCGCCCGCGCTGGGCGGCAAACGTGGCGCCACGGGGACAAAATGGCCTCGCAAGAAAGCCCAATAAAATACAAAGCCAACTGAATAAGTCTGTTAAGCAGCAACCCTAGGGTCCCTCCAACACCGTCTCCTTGTTTTAAAGCCCAGGAAAGGCTCACGTCACCCTCCTGCATTTCCAAAGCCACGTCCTCAAGGCCTTTCTGAGGGACCCGCCTGGCGGACCCCGAGCCTCACTCGAGGCTCCAAAATGGCGGAGGGCTCGTCCCCGCTCATCCTCAGGCCGCACGCCGCAGGGACGCCCAAACCCAAGTGTTCCACGCAAGATCCCCACAGGGAAAAGGCAAATCATACACGTAAGATTCCAGGCTCCTGATTTACAAGCTACCCTGGAACAGGCAAACCCAGAACAAAGCCTTCCAAGGCCCTGGGGTTCCTTACATTCCAACTAAAAACCACCAGCCATGCTCATGGACATGATGGAGGAAAACGAGGACAACCAAATACATCGTAATCCTGTCATTGAAACCAAAACCCTCAAAAGTTCCACCCCACCCCCAAATCAAAGACCCAGAGAGTTATTTTGTTAAATATTATTTCCCAACAAGTTTTTAATAGTTTCTTCTACTTCGAAAATTTATGAAAACCACTAAATTAAAAAAAAAACACCATGTACACCCGCAGCCCTGTAACAATCTATCCGCTCCTCTCCCGGGCTCTCCTCCTGGAGCCCGTCCCCCTTTAGCACACTGACTGGTACAGGTCGTGTCACGCAGGGAACACCCCACGAGTCGGAAACGAGACTGAAGGGTGGCACCGTCGTGCATCTAACAAAACCTTCCCGGTGGGAGTCGAAGTTTTCCGGATGGGCAGGTACCTAACTGAACCCACTTTGAATACAGGTTAGCCGTTACCTACGCTGCTCCCAACGCGCGCGGACAACCCACGAAGACACAAAGGAAAGGCCTTTCCAGGGAACCCGCAGACATTTAAAATGCCCCGCACCGGGGATGGAGATTGCCTTAGCAACGCAGGGCGGCCTCACCTTTCCCGGCCTCCAGGCCCGCACCGCTCCCTCCCAGGCGCCGTCCCAGGCCCGCACCCGAGGACGAGTGGCCCCAGCACAAAGCGCGCGCCTCATCGCCTCTGTCCACTGCGGCGCTGTGGGGAGGGGGCTGCCG